AGCAGGAATCCTGAATACGGGTGACAGGGCGGGTGCGCTTTCTTATGACCAGATGTCGGCAGTCTGTCCATAACCGGTTCAATCCGGTATATACTGCGCATAAAGCAACGCGCATCCCAATTGACCAGTCCGTAGTTGGAGCCGTGTACTTGGGCCAATAGTACGACATCGTTGAGTACACCGTGCGCTTCTTAACGTCAGTCTCGTCGTGGTGCTCCATCTTCGCACGTCTTGTAACGTCACGTCGAAAGGTCGGCGCGTATCGAGCAGACAATCTGCGCGGGTCGATTGTCAAATCGCGTAAGGATTACGATCGTTCCGATTACGCGCGTTCCCTGTAAAACGGGACAATCTCACTCGCGTCGAGGTACTCGTGGTGAACGCGTTTAAAGGCCGCGCGAAAGCTGCAACTCTTCTTCGGCACTCGGATCCCGCAGCGGAACTCGCGTAGAAAGAGGTGAGTCCCAGTGAGAACCTTCCCTCTTCACGCGCCTACATCCTGGCTCTTTGTCTCCCTCTTCATCTGCCATCCCCTTCGGAAAAATCTCCATCACTTCGACCTATCGATCAGAGCTACGTCCGTGATAATTTGTCTGTGAGCGCACGCGGAATCGCGTTGATAATCACGCGTCTTATCACGCACATCGATGTCCCGCGCTCGCACGCGGACCTCATCGTCATCGTCGTCCGTTGACAGAAGCTAAGAACGTCGATCGGTGACGTCGTGATAACTCGATTGAGTCATGCGGCGCTGCAACCACGAAGGTCGAACCTGGCGCGCTAAATCGATCGCGCGTGAACGACGACGCGCAAACGATCTCGCGTTAACGTCGCCTCCTAGGCGGATTGGTCCCATCGGGGCGCGAAGCGGTCGCGACTGTCGGGAAATGGGGTTACACTGGGACGATCGATCGTTCCTAGAAAAACTAGACGTCGCGGAATAATACATGGTCGATGCCAGTCCTCGATCAAGCATAATTAGCTGGCGCGCTGTTACGTACCGCGATATAGAGGGATTAACCCTCTTTCTGTCTTTTATCAGTTCTCCTTATACTTTCCGAAATTTAAGTATTGGATGCTATTTTATATAGCCTAGAAAAAGAAATTATCTGAGTGATGCATGTGAATAAGATCACTTCCTGTTCCTAAACTTTCTGGGAACTCGGTATCTATAGATCATATTTACGTAACGACTTTCATGAACCAGTCGTTGTTGGTAAATTTGAAGTTTAGTAACTACACAATATTAATTGATAACTTCTTAATATTTTCAAATGCTTAACATGTTTTATAATATTCCTAAAATTTTAAGTTGAATATAAAAAAAAAAAAAAAATAAATTGCTTCATTAAAAGCCATAATTCTTTCTTAATTTTCTCAAAAGAATTTTTACATCTCTTCTTAAAAGAGAGAAGTAAACAAAAACCTCTTACACATCTTAGTTCCTATCAGCGTCCAACAATTATTTGATCGCAGACGTAACAGCTTGCAGCTGCTTCGATGACGCTCGAAGCGTACTGGATCGATGCTACGTGTGAATTGTAGGATGGAAAAAAGTTGCTGGATACAAAAATAAACTGTCAGACGCATTAAGATTTCTCATCTTATTGGCAATCTAGTCTTTACTTTCAAAGCTACATGTTAAATTCAGCTTTGACCGTTATGCGCCTGTATATTAACTTTGATGGAAAATATTACATGCTAAAGTGGAGCATAAAGTGTAGAAATTTTTCTCTTTAAGAACGCATGCACGTTATAAAGCTTTATCTTACCGTTTCAAACCACATTAAAGCAAATTAATGAAGCAGAACAGATCAACGATTCAATGATTTTCAGTTACCATTTTATAAATGTACGCTTTCATACACACACAGAACAAAATTGAATTAACAAGTCTAACGTGATAATCTCTGAAAGATCGGATAATTGAAAATTTCATATCTAAAGATATACTTCTTTTTATATAATTACTATAACAAATATCTGTGAAATTGATTTGACAAATTAAATAGTATCAGAAAAATTTATTAGATAAAATTTTTAATTGTTACACACATACATTTTGTAACAGTTATATATATAAAACACTCTTTAATTTTATTTGATATTTCTAAATTTTTATATAACATTTTTTTCTGAATTTTATATCTGATATTAATGACATGTTGCAAACGATCGATCGTGCATAATCGTCGTGATACTCTGAATTTTTAATCGCTTGAATCAGTTGTGGATCAATAATAGAGATATTGAAAAGAAATATTGGAGATAATGAATAAATATTTTGTATTGTTTATTATATTATCGATGCTAACATTTTCTTAATGAAATAAATTGATTGGACGATTCGAGTCGATGTGAAGTCGGGCAGTGTCGGACGAAAAATTAGATGTCGAGAAACGGGGTTAACCCCGACGTTACACGCGAGTATCTATGCGAAAAATCAATACACGACTCTCCTGGGACCCGCTTTACAACACGCGCGCGGAAGTCCATCAGTGAATTGGTGATCATTGCGTGAACCCCAACAGTGACATGCATACATATTTTGCCCGGAAAGGTCCTGGCCAGATCGATTTCCCGTTTGCTGGCGCGAGGCCGTAAGCAAGTCGAGCTCGCAGCTGATCCAGTTGCATTCGGCGCCATCGATATTTGAAGAGCTTGACTTTAGAATGATACGCTGCTTGACTTAAAATGAGATAAATTGAAATAGAAGGTACTCCCCCAAGAGCGTGTCTATATCATATTTCTTTCATATTTCTCGCGGATGATTTTATCTTATAAAAATATTGACGACTTGTTCATTTTGTATATTGTATATTATCCAAATTTTCAAAAGTTTCTATAGATCCCGTTCTATTTAACATACAATTATCAAAGAATTTTTTAAAGTAACAAAATTTGCGGTATTTTTGATCGTAAAATGATTGTTTAGGTATGAAAATTCTTTGCAGTGTTTTGCTTTAATGCTAATCACGCAATAATCATTCATGGCGCTCAGTAATAATGATGATAACGATAATCTCGTAATACATTATGAAACAATTTTTTTTAACTAGCGGAAATCATAATTGGCAGGAAGAGATAATATCAGATTAATGTTACATATATATTATTTTTCATGCCCGAAAAGATTTTTCTTTAGAAATAAATTACGATTTTATTTTTACAATTAATAGTTTAGAGTTTAATGTATATTTCAAAGTTTTTTAAAAATAATTTGCTGTAATAAAAGCTTTAAATATAAACCCAGCGTAAACTAGGTTCTTTTTCGGATTACGATTCATCGAACGTCATATAGACTAACGGCTACACCCAATGGGCTACACCCATATTGAGAGATATACGTGCGTGTGTAACGAATTAAACTTCTCTATGTGCTTATCGATTATTATCAACGATGTCAACAAAAAACTGGAGAGGGAAGGATAAATGCGTGTCTCTTATTTTGATCGATAGATCGACGAAGTGATGTTAATCGCAGACAAAGACATATTTACCCAGTACAACGATCCTCTTTTGCATGTATCTGTCTGTTTCTCTCACAAATTTACGTCACGTTTCACGTCAGTCTCGCAATTAGCGATTGATATAGTTCGGAGAACCTATCAAATTATTTTGTTGACTTTTACTTTATTCGCACGCGCTTGATTAACTGTTAAAGATAGTTGATTAAAAGTAAACACGACAATGTTGATATTGTTTCATGTTCGCACGTTTCCTGTTTATAAATATGTTTCACGAAGATGCATAATTAAATAGTTTAATTGGCATGTCGCCATGCATGATTTTCTCGATATACAACGAAATCGATGGATTTTGTGCATGTCGACCATCATACCATGTGACACGCATCTTCATTTCTTACATTTTAGCGAGGACGATTCTGCGAGGCATCGACAATAACGTTTTCGATCAAAGTCGTACAGTAAGATAAGTCTAATTATAAAACAGCAGACGCGCCTTAAAACTTCCACGTGTTCTGCCTGTATATTTTTCGGTTGATTTAGTTCTCTACACACAAACATAATATAACTTAAAAATATAGTTACATAAATATTTAATCGAATATCACATTATTAGTAAAAGTTATTGAAAAATTTTTTTTTTAAATTAAAGATTTTTTTATTAAATGTAAATTAATTTAATAATTTTTATATTCATGTGTAGCTATTGTTAAAAATACATTTCAAAATACACATCAAATTAATTTATATTACAATTGTTAATTAATATATATGTTCACTATCGCATATATGTTATGTAAACGATAAGATATAAATTAAATTATAAAATGTAAATTAAAACTGCGTTGATTTGGCAAATATTGCAAAAATGAACGACAACCAAACTTACGGAAACAATAGCAGCTTGCTCGTTTGTTTAGTGAGAACGACGGAATTGTTTGTTTTTGTATGCACTTTCGTAAATAGAACGCGATTTCATGTACATAGAAGTTCGTGTTAACGATTGAGTTCAAAAGAGTATCTTTATACTTTTCATTTATACTTGCACAAATCCGGATTCCAAATACGTTTAAATTGGGGCATGACTGCAACTGTTTACATTAGAGATTATATTAAATGCACGATGGGAAGAGAAGTTATATGCAGATAGTTACAATATGAGAAAGTATTTAATCAACTCATGCAACTGTGCTATTATTTCTATTTATTTCATTTATGTAGTAACTGATTTCTTCTTTACACGATTTTATATACAATTATCGTACAATATATTGCAAATATTTTTTGTGAAAATAACATAATTGCGTGTACGCACGAAACGGAAACTTGCAAAAAAGATTAAATTATCGAAAAAAACGCGAGAAAGAGAATAAATAGAAAAATTCAATTAATATATAATTAAAACAATGATGCAAACGATAATAACATTGAGTGCTTTTCTTGAAATACAAAACTTCTATAATCACTTGCTTCGGGACCTAATAAAATTTTATTGCAGTTTGTATTTAATAGATTAAGAATCAATAACATTATTAAAGTATGTTATTAAAATATTATATGTGTATGGTAAATATGTTCTACTTCAATAATAGGAAAAATAAATATTTTACAAAACTCTAAAGTTTAATTAATTACAATCTAGATAGAGTTTGCTAAGAAATATATTATCAAAATATATGTGATTATTCACAAATCTACCAGTTTGTATGTGATATAATTAGAAACAAAATTGTGTATCTATCCCTAAACAACATCCAACTTTATTTGTCCATTTTTTTGACTCTGTACAATTTGTCAGGAAGAATTTTCATCAGAAAAACTTTTATTATTTCTTATGAATAATAAATACTGATCTTAATAGTTGCTGATAAAAATGAAAATAAAACAAACACGATATGTTTTCGCCTATAGAATCTAATTATCAATTGCACTTTGATTAGCTCTTATTATTGCTCATAATCAAAGATAAAAAAACTGCTGATTTAATTAGTCACGGCTATTGATGCAATTATTTCATTATAAAATTTTTCTCAAAGAAATCAATATATATCAAGTACGATCGAACGATTGTCGATGCCTCGAATCGCGCTGCGGTCGGCCGTCACAGGATCTCCTTATCTTTGTTTTTTTCTTTCTTTTGTTCCTTTGCCGTTCGTTTGCCTTTTTGACGTGCGATATTGGCATATCGGCTTCGGGCACGCCTATCATCATCAGCAGCAGCAGCAACGCCACAGCTCCAAGCGCCTTCGAGGCGATTCTTCGCCGAGAGGGCAACTACCTAGACGAAAATCATCGTCCTCGACCAGCACGACGATCAACTAGGTCGTGTCGGGTGAGGAACGACATCGCGAACGAGACAGGACGACGAGAGGTCACGCCATGCCGGCAGGTATTGGCGCTTCGTACAGGTCGTTAGGCGACCTGGGCGAAGATGTTTACAAAAGCACAACCATCGTCGATCAGACACAGACTACTGGCCAGAGCATGCTCGAGTCTGTCAAGAAGGCTTTTAGCTTCGCCTCTCCAAAGGTTGAGATCCGGAAGAAGGACCCGTTGATCGAGGACCGTCGCGAAAGCATCTCGATTGTCTCAAGGTAATGCCTTAAGCAACATTGTCCGGAAATATGGGGGAGAAACCGGTCAGCAGGTAGGAATACGGTCGCGGGATATATCGTGTCGCTGTTCTTCAATCTTGAATCTTGTTGCCCTTTCGAACACTGATAATTTATTACGAATTTATTTAACGCAGTTTATTTAAGAACGCCAAAAAATTGTGACATTTTTGCTGAATTATATTGTTTCTTACATATCTATATAAAAAAACTGTGTTATGAATATATAACTTATTATAATTAAAACATGACGTTGAGAGTTTTTAGTTCTTTAGGTAAGATATATACAATATACAATATATATTTTTTAAATTTTATATATATACATTATTTTTCACGAAATGGGAATTGATTTGCAAATCTGGCTTAAATATTTTGCTTAAATTATTTTATCGTTTTATCCACTTTAGTACAATAAAAGTTTCAACTTCAAATTGAATTATATTGTGCACGATTTAATTTTGCAGTATTTATTAATTGTATTAGAAAATTATTTGCGATAGTTTAATAAAATAAAATACAATTTAGTTATAAATAATAAAAAATAAAATTAAAAAAAAGAGATAAATATACTTTGGAAAAACATACTGCTTATAAAATATGCTTATTAAGTTAATGTTTTTTCTGGAATAGTTCAAAAAAAAAAAAAAAATACAATGATAATCAGTAATTTCTGACTTAGCATACTTTTATCAGAAATTATGCAAATTGTGGGTTACATAGAGTTTATTAACTTGATTTTCATAAAAAGATCGCATTCTCTGCGAAAAAATTACGTATTCTTACGGCCAACTTACTTTATTAGATCATTTTTAATCGCAAAAGTGGCTGGAATTTTGCAAATCAAAGAAGTACATTATAATTTGTTCCCGGAAAATCGTCTTGAATATTATAGGAAAAGTTCTATTTTATCTCGTTTATATTAACTCAATATATATTAAGGATATTGAGTTTAAAAGCTCGAATACATCATCAACAATAGAATAAGTGATGCAAGTTGTTAAGGAGTTTGTGGGCAACGAGCACTTTGAGATCGAAGACATATCAGGGCATGGTTATAGTGCTTTTGTTGTTAGTTACTATGGCGAACAGGTTTCATGAAATCAATTGTAACACTAGCGATGCAGTTTTCACAACTTTCGTTGCATGTTCATAGACTGGCTAAAAGTATCTCTATTGTAATATGTTGAATTGTCTATTAGAGAAAAAAAATATAAAGAATAAAATATTACTGTGCATATAGAATATTATATAAAATATTAAATAACATAGTTTTATATTCTCTTTAGTAGGCGTAATAATGTTATATAATACGACTACATGTGTTATAATAAAAGTAAGAATGACACATACGATGACACTAAAATCTTAGTAAGAATAAAAGAAATCCTCTTCAATATGCAAAATTGTAGATTTATGAATTTGAAGATAGAATGATGACTTGAAAATATATTAATTAAATATGATAATATCGTTCACAAATACGCAAAATATAGCTTTCTCGAATCGTTACATGCATAAAAAAAGAACCACGCAATTCGCATTATTCCAGAACGTTGACCAGCAAATTCTCTTAATTTTTTACTTCCACTTTCGAGATTGTTTTTTTTTTTTTTTTTTTAAACGGTATATAACAAACACATGTAATAAAAATAATATTTAGGAAAACGTATCTTCTCTCTTATAATAATTATACTCTTTTATATTTTTAGAATCTATTTTTCAAAAAATTTCATTTTAATATATAAAACTTTATGTCATATACATAATTTAATACAATATAATTACCTTTTGAAAGTTTATACATTTTGACATTTAGACACGCGTAATTAATGCAATCATATTCGTTTCTCTTAATTAAATGTTTGAAAGCATCATATGTGTATATGCTATATATATATATATATTGAAAATAGCCGTCTTTAGCAACGAAAGCGTTAACCGTATCGAAATAAAATAAATAAAAATATTTTTTTGCAAAAACTAAAAAAATCTCGCCACTGCCATATAATGCCATATAATTACACTAATGCTTGCAATTTAATCATCTTTAATATTAATATACTAACGATTGTTTACTTTGATGCTGCCCAAAAGTACTTAATGTCTATTTGTCAAAATTAACATTTTTTTCAAAAACTGAACAACTTTAACACATAAAATCTAACACAAGTCAAAAGATATCCCGCAATTTTGCTGCGCGCATGGAATTGCTCGGCAGCTTTAGTAACCTCTGCTGTTATTAAATACGGTTCGTTTTCCCCACGGAAATCAATAATTACGCGAGCTGTTTGCACATATATGATACACTAATAAAACGAGTAAAAAATTTTCGAACGTATTTCACTGAATTATTCGATTGAGAGGATACACATGGAGCATAGAGAGCAGATTTGTAAAGATAAAAATTAACTGACTGTGATCATTCAAATAAAAAATTAGAGATATTGATTTTGTAAAATATTTTGTAGAATACTTTGTTTTTGGAAATATTTAAATTTGTCTTGTATAAACTGAATCGGTTATAAAGCCAACGTCTCGTTTTAGATTAGTAGATTAGTAAGTACGGACTAACTTCAGGATCGGACGTTAAAGGCACTGCTATTGATCAGTTCGTGCTGAAGGCAAGCGAACCAAAGGTAAGTCGTGGCACCTGAAAAAGTTTCTTTTCTTTTTTTTTTCCATGCGCTTCAAGCCTCACCCGCACGCATCAATAACACTAGCTTCTCGCATCCCTTTGTCTAAGCGTGACTGCAATCATCGTTATCATCGCCGCTTGGTTTATCGTTGTTACTATCTCGTTATTATTATCATCTTCTCTGTTGCATACATGCGATCGGCCGTCTTCCTTTGTCCTTGCAACGCTCGAGTTGCGACCGTTCGCGTCGCTTCACGACGCGCGACGGAAACGCGTGCGTGGCGGAACCGGCTTCTCGAGTCAAGTGACCAAGGGCGATTAAATGCGAGCGATCGAGGGATCCGGGTATTTGAGTTTTTTAAAAATAATAGAATATGTGAAGGTTTAGAGCTCGTATTCTAGTCGTACGTTTGTCTCATGATTCTTCAATTTCAATGTACACTTATATTTTGTTTAAAAATCTTGCACGGAATGTTATATAAGTAAATTTATAAACTACTGTAAAACATATTTATTAATTATTTATAAGAATCCAAAAATGATACGAAGATTGAAATATCTTGTATACAATATTGAATGTTTTAATTCTTAAAAAGTTTGGTATCTTTAGTTAAGACAACAGATGATATGTTTTTATTATATAGTCATTAAAATTGAAGTACTACCTTTTTATTTTAACCCGAAGTTTAATCCGATTTCTTTTAAAGAACTATTTATTCAAGTGCGCAATATCTGAATACGAGATTCCAACCCTTAATTTAATTGACCGTAAAAAATGGGGATCTTTATGGTAATTTTACATTCAAATGAATCGTATGCTAAATGTTGGAAATCGTTAAATTGTAGAACAAAGAGAAGCCGATTCTTAAAGCGATCAACGTAGAATGCTAGCAAAGGCAAATTGACGCTAATATGACACTGCTATTTGTTTATTGTGCTAATTGTTTTTACGATGTTACGAGTTTTCTGTGTGTTGTGACGGGATAAAGGCACGACATATTCCGGTAGGGCCGGGCCCTATGATTATTCGCCGCCATTTTGTTTTAGGGAGAGAAACAAGATGCCGACAGCAGCCACTGCCGAGGAATCTGCTCTATTGGGGTAAGTTTTGGAATAAGAGGGAAGAGAACTTATAGAGAGACCATCGCGTAATCGGTACTGTTCCCTATCTTTCAGCAAGTATTAAATCGTAGTTGCAATTTATGCTGATGCGTAGATACGTAGTAGGAGTGCGATATAGTTGATATTAACCAAGCCTACGCATTGAGAATGTAGCCACTTTTTATATTATTCATTTACATTCATCTACTCTGAATCGTTTCATCCTAATAGCATAAAAATTCGACTCGTTTGATGCAGAACAGCTAGGAGTGAGTAAAATTGCAAATTTATTCTTATATATTAAAATTCCGCCTAAAATTACAAATTTAATCAATACGATTTCGTTATAACTAACGAAAAAAACGAGCTTTAATATAGAAATATTGATTTGAGTATTCCATCATTAATATTTGCCATATAACGAGAATAGGCAAAAATAATATCTGCGGATCTCATTTGCAAAAAGATTAGAATAGATTTCTCTAAACTAGAATATATATTAGAACACACAAAATTTTAATATGTTTCAAAATATAAAAATAAGCAGGAATAAGATGTTTATCGTCATGTTCATAGGGTTTTTCAATTGACATGAGCGATTGACATTGACCTTAATGTGTTCATAGCGCCGAGTGACCAGATCATAACTCGCAATTGTATTATTAAAATTTATTATGCGCTACTTAGCGGTACAACTGCGTAATAACCCGTAATGGTCATCAGCGAGCGAATTATGGATGCTTCGAGATGTATAATTGATTGAGATACAGGAACAATTATAAAAACATTGCAACTGAAAATGAACATTGTTCTAGATTTTGTCGCGGTAATTGCACTGTACATTATGTAAAAGTAACGACACAGTACATTACTCTAAGCTCTGACAAGAAACAAAGCCGTAGTATAGTGCACAACGGCAGCAATATTGTTCTTTTATATACAATATTGGTTAAATAGCATCACTTAATGAGTGACCCAGCTGCTATTTAGAGCTGTGACCCAAATTCGAAAGGCTTACGAAACTTAATTGTTTAAGACAGTTTAACGGAAGTTCCAAAACTTTCGGCTGTTTAATAGAGCTACTTTATGATTCTTACAAACTCGCGTCGCGTTGTTGGTGCCACTTTCTAATTTAAATGTAAATGTAAAATTAAAGTCACAAATTTTGCTTTAAGATTATCAAGTTTTTCTTCTCAAACTATGAATTATATATACTTATCTTACTACAAATTTTTAAAAAATTCGACAAGAAATTATTGCTTTACAAAAATGTCTTAAAAGAAAAATGTTCTCTTTGATTAATCTTTTATTTTTATTTTTACTAATTTAATAAAATTAATGGAAAATTAGCGCATTCAATACCATTTCGTGTAATTGTTAAGAATCTATATTATTTAGATATAGATAATTTTATATATTTTTACTAGGTAAATATAACATAGATTGTTTGAATTTTCTAGAATACTGTAACAATAGATAACAAACTTATATCGTCAATAGAAAGTGTGTGGCCAATATGCTCCCCTTTTCTTCAGGCGATTTCCAAATTAATTTTGTGATAAAATTAAAAATAATTATAAGTAGATTACAAATGTATAAGTTTCAGAGTATAGTCTTTTACCGTTCCAAAAAAATGGACTCCAAAGATTTCAAGTCCGACAAATGACACAACATAAACAATAAAAAATTAAATTTATAGAAAAAAACATTTTTATTGTAATTTTTGTTGATATCAAATATTATATCATACAAACTCTCATTAGGGATGACAAAATCGCAGTTGTAGCTATATGATATGAAACCTTTGGAATCTATTTTCTTTGATACGCTAAAAGGCTACATTATGAAACTTATATATTTGTAATCTATTCATAATTATCGTTTATCACATTGGAAAACATCGCTAATGGCAATTTGGCTGCATTCTTTGTCTAAAAAGATACAAAACAATTAATGACACGTTGGACTCGATGATGCTTTCGTCTTGTATAATGCTTTAAATAATTTAATATAGGCGACGCAAAGTCGACTAGGCACAAAACTTCATAAGAAATTAATGTTTCAGCTAACGCGTTCCATTCTTATGACTTGTATTTCTACACGTTAGCACGAAATCATGCACTTTTTCACAATATTAATTTTTTAGATATAATAATGGAATTATAATTCAAAAAATATATTTACGAGTTGTTACAAGATGATTCACATCTTAAAGAAACCAATATAAAAATATTGTGTAATGAACTTAATGATGTAGCATATCTCTCACTCATTATCTCTGTTTAATTATCCTATCTTTATTTAGATAAGCTACACGTTTTTTTCTCTCTTTCTTCTTTAAATTTATTTTAACGCAAATTTGATTCTGAGCAAATTTTGGACACATGTATTACTTCTTTAAAAATATATAAAAATTTTTGTATTTTGTATTATTATAAAATAAAGAACGATCGTAAACTGACTGTAATAGATGACAATGATAATTATGACGTTTAAATTTATGAAGAATGTTATTCGTTGAAAATGTGTTAATGTGCTAAACAAGCAAACATGGAAGGGACTTTAATAGAATGTAACATTTCACGTAATAGCGAGCTTAGGAGCTTACTAAGGTTAACGATGTAATTTCACTATGTCACTCTTCGTTCGTACCATCTTTGGACAAAGATGTTCTACTTGTTAGGATAAAGGACGAGGCCATACGTCGCTCTTGACTAAGTCCTCACAGCGAAGTAATTAACGTTGAAATTAGAATTAATTAGGAACCATTAAGACCTCTTTCATATAAACCTCTTATTGTCACGATGTCTTGTAATGTCGCTTCAAAAACAGCTTTTTCAACAATGTTTCTTTTTTAGCACATATGTAGATATCTCATCTTTTTTAACTACGCAAATAAGATATTACAAACAGAGCTCTGATTATAAATATGCGTCCAGTTATTTGATCTTTTGTTCAATGGATACAATAATAGGTATATTTTATTGTAAAAAATTTACATTTATATCTTTGTAATAAAATAGCACTTAGGAGATTGCGTGTGTAAATACGCTATCCAATAATATAATATTTTATATTAAAAATCTGATCTCTCTTATTATAAATCTATTATAATCTTAAAGGAAAACTTATTTGACTTATGTATTATTCAATTTTTAAAAAATGTTGAAAATTCTGAAGAGATTAAATTCTTGAATACAGTCCCAACCCCGTAGGCATTCTTTATACTTTTTATATTATCTCTGCCATATGGTAATCTTAATCCATTTATTTCTTAAACTTATTAATCTTAACAGATATTATAGATTTTAAATTTCTTTAAATTTTATTTTATGCATAATTTGATTTAACACGCATAAATTTTATAAATTTTATTTAAAAAAAAAATATATATATATAGTAGTTTTAAATCATTTATAATGTGAATACTGGTACTAACTATAATGTTGTTCACATGAACTATATGTGATTAAAAATTAAATTTTAAAAGAAACAGATTTATAAGGAATGTCATAAACCTAATCAATTAAACGAAATTTATTTTGCACGTATTCTTTTTGATCCGCGCAAGTCATTGTTTGTCATTTGTAGTTAATGATCTGTCTTATGCAGATAAAAGATGAAATTTTGCTTGAAACAGGCCACTGCTCTTTGCGTCATGGAGAAGGCGGACATATCGATCGAAATGCATCTTGAGCCAGTAACGCAAGTTCTTTGTCAACTGAAAGAGAACTTAATCATTTGTTAATTGTCATTTTTTTCCCGCGTGACGTTCATTTTGTCTGTTTCTTTTCGCTAGAGATTAGTCTTTACTTATCTCGATTCAACATGTTTGCCGTTTGTTACGTAAAGCAATGATAAATTACTCTGATGGGAGGTCGAAACGTAACGATTCTATATGACGCGACAGTCGTGTATGTCAGTGTTTGCTCTACTTTCGCTAGGAATTCGTTTAACGTAACTTGGCATTGCGCCAGTCCCACTTTGATCGGATGGCACCGACTTTATAAAACAGCTTTTATATTCTAATAAAAATAACACAACAATTAATAAATTACCGTTTGTTCTTTGAATCTTTTGATACAAATTGTCTTTAAAACAGAAATTGACCAACAGCATTTTATACACAGTATTGAAAAATCGAAAGTGATCAAATCTTTTACTGCAGGTAATGCATATATTAATGTGATTCAATCGAAGCAACATGTAAAAATTGACTTGAAAACTATATTTGCGGGAAATATATAACAAAATCTAAAACAATAGCGAATTGCAAGAGAGAGAGAGAGAGAAAGAGAGGATATTTTCCTATTAAACAGACAATTAATAATCTTGAATCTCTGATCTATCCTTGTGCTAGAAATGCGAAATTTGTCCAACTCAAATAATCGGTGCTTTATAATAATAACAAGCACGGCTCTGTTTACAGCATGTTCTATATCATACTTGTGTTTGTGGTAGATATATAGAGATTTATTTACTTGCCTTGGTCGCGAGGGTAGTGGGATAGCGTAAATCGATCCTTATTGTGCGGCTTCGTCTTACAGGCAAGTAATCAGAAAGAATATATGTGCACTTCGGTTAATCGATCGATAAAAAGGACACTATCACACAAGATATCGAATACAGGAAATTCAATGCCGCTCGATGTCAATTATTTGGCTGCAGGTTGTGGTTTATCAGAATTATTTTTAAGAAAATCTTAGTGACGCTGTTCGCCACTTATTGTTGAACACATTTTATGCCGCTATATATTGTTAGCTTTGAGAAAGAAGATTATATATGCAAAGCTTATTTTAACTGGATTTCACGTTAAACTTTTATGCAATTTGTTTAACTAAATCTAAAAAATACTAAAATATATTGAGCAAGCTTTTATACAACGTAGAAGTAAATTATTAAATTTATTTATTTTGTTGCTGCAAGAGTTTAATCTCTAAAAATTAATATTTATATAGATTCTTTATATTATATACAATTCAGACATCTTCTGCACAATT